AAAAGGAATGGAAATGCAAATGGTGTTCAAAGCAAAAGCAAACATCAACTAAAATCATCCGAACTACACGAACTCCAGCACGGCGCAATGCTTTGATTACCCATTTGAGGCGAGGGTACTCCAGAATAATCGATCGCTCAGGATTCTCAAGTACATAGCTTTGACCCAAGCAACCAATGAGAAGGAGCAACAAGGAGACCCGACTCACCATGCGGTTTCCCTTTCGAACTGAAGTTGCCCCCACTTGCCCCTCTGGAACCAATTCATCTCTTTGGGATGTGTGTCTGTTCACTAGTGACCATGTAGAACAAACCACGGCAACGATTGCTAACGCATTCTTCCTGCCCTGGAGTAGCAGCAGCACAGCCAACCTTAGCCAAAACAGCCAAATGGAAGTAACATAATGGAACAAATGAAATGTTTGTTCGATATTGAGAATATCATTGCAAAAGCACCCCAATGCATTGCATATCATTGCACCAAATTGGATGAGAAACAGTATGCCTGCCTCTCCATTGATATCAAAACAACTACGCTTTTGATGTGAAGAGAATGACGACTCCGCTCCTTTCACCGGGTGGTCATAGTCAATGTCGTAGCACCGGACATTGAAACCGAGAAAATGTGCCCATTTGCTGACACGTCCAGAGCCACTAAAGAATTCAATCACATCCAATGGTTCAGGCACAAAGGTCTGGGTAACAGGAATCCAAGAGACAAGGAGCACCAACCATATCCAATCCTGACGTCATCTTAATGACTGGTGAATGGGGGGACTTTGCCACCGACAAGACCATGAATGAAGGCAACTAAGATTCAACTGGCGCTCCCAAAAGCAACATCGCCCGACATGCATGTTCGATCTCCTTCCTGGTAATTTTGGAAGTCATGGCGACGCTTGTCTCTCACTTGGGCCGCGCTAGTAAACTACGGCGGCAAGTTGGACAATTTGGATTAAAGGTGTTTCACTGCAACAGATACTTCCACATCATTGTGCAAGCAAAAGATCAGGCAAGAAGTAATGACCAGGCCAGGCGTGCGACAAAGCCCGAACTTTGCCAGCGTAGACTGGCCTCTGCGAAGTGGCATCCTGGGTTTTTATCACTGCCAAAATGAATTCACCAATGTTTGTGATTCACTGGCACTTGACTTCAAAGAGTCTCCTGGTGGAGCTTCGTGAAACCCGCAGTGCCCATTCACCTGGCCAGCGCATTCCAGGCACTGATTCAAGTTGGTGTTTGACTGACAGCATCGAAAGGTTTCAAAGGAAGGACGATTGTAAATTTTGGTAGCTCTCGCTTGGGTCAAAGATTCAATCCGCCACTCGTGGACTGGATGGCAGAATGTTTGACGCCCATCATGCTAAAGCCTGGAAATGCATCAAGTGTAGAACACAGTGTCCTGGTCCTAGTCATGTTTACTTCTAACTTAGATGGGCTCTCATTCAACATTCTAGTGCATACAAAAGCCGTTCTAACTAAGCTGGAACTTCTCACGTGTTGGCTCCCCAATGCACTCACGCTTGAAGCCAGCTCAGAGGTGGCTCTGAGGCACCATACCACACCTGTAGGATCGTCGCTTCACTCATCATAGCAGCTGCTCTCCTCAAAGTGTGGCTTCCCCAACAAGCCCTTTCTGTTTCCACAGAAACTTTAAAAATGCCAGTATTAGTCTTCAACAAACAGTGGTATCCCTGTCTAAGCATCAAAGTTGGTCAAAATACCATAAGCAACAACAAACCACCACCAGCACCACCATGTCTTGTGGGTTATAGTTTATAATAATACCAAGACTCGCACTTGGGGTAGCGCCAGGAACTCAGACACCTTTCCCTCGGCAACTTCCACGAATGTCTTGTAAGTCTGCTGCGCAGGATCATCAGACAATGAGGCAATTGCGGAAGATACCAACTTGAACCAAGGGTCCTCCAGCGAGGACCAAACCCGCCAATGGGTAACAGATAGTTGGACTCAGAACACGGCTACACTCCTAGTAGCATGACCACTCTAACCACCATGTCTAACACATGCCCTCCCCTCCTGCAAGCGGGATGACTTCTTAAGAGAAGCGGCAATAGAGTTCTCGAAAACATCTCGAATCGCTTGGTGCTTCGCGGAGCCAATGTAGCGACCGGCAAATGTTTTCTTTGCCGCCTTGGCTGCCTTGCCTGCCTGCTCAGGCTCTGCCACATGTGCATCCTCAGCAGCACGCTTGGGGGCTGGTTTGGCAGATTTGCCACGGGACTGGTTTGCCTTGGGTTCATCTGCATTTCGAGAGGCTTTCGCCTTCGCTTTGGAAGCTGCCTTGGGAGAGGCTTTCGCCTTGGCTTTGGGGGCTGCCTTGCGAGAGGCTTTCGCCTTGGGTTGGGAAGCTGCCTTGGGAGAGGATTTGGCCTTTCCCTTGGGAGAGGCTTTTGCCTTTCCCTTGGCTTTGGGCTTGGGCCTGAACTCTGCTTGGAGTTGCTCCCGCCGCATCTTCACAGGAACCTTGAAGGTTTCAATCAGAATCAGCGATTCCATTTGAAGCATCACCTAGACCTATACTCACTCTACCCCATTTTTGGAGTTGAGTTGAGGGAATTTGGTAAACAAGTTTTGAGCAACCCCACGCCTCTTCATTGAACAGGGCTGCAACATCCAGATCATCGGGCACCTCGGGCGCTTTCGACTTGGAATCTGCCTTCGAAGGGCTGGGCGGGTCAACTTCCATCTCAGCCTGTGCTTCCCCACTAGGTCCATCCAACGGAATGGTCATCTCAGGGTTTGCGTGACGAACCTCAGATGCGTGAGCCGCTTCAGGAGCAGGATCCTCCTCCTGGGACTCAGGGATCTCAATGGTCTCCTCAAAAATGGCTGCCTTTCTCTGAGATTGGTCAACCATCTGACTCTCCATGAGCAATGTGTCCGCATTGTCCAGGCATGGGCCTGAGCAACATGGCTATAGAAAACATCAAATGAAACACATGAATGCTGGCAAAATAATTGTAAAAACCAAAAACCTGACCTATGGCATCCAGATCACTGGAGGAGGCACGCTGAAGCGCACGCTGAGCTTGGCGTTGTTGAATTTGTAAACTGCAGGGTTGCCGTCCGATAGTATTGAATTCCTTTCCTCAAAAAGGCCCAACAAAAATCAAAAACTGCCAAAACAAACACAAGTTGAACCCCTCGCCTAATCAGTTGCATCTTGGCCAAAATGCGCTCTCGGTAAACCTTCTTCCCCTCAGGCTCGTCAGGGTTGGCCGCAGACTTGAGGTGAAGGTTCAGGCGCTCTCCATCTGACATCGCAGCTGAACTTGAATCTGAGGCGTGCTCGGGCTTAGATGCTGACCCTGGCGTAGAGGACGGCTCAGGGTTAGCCAGCTCCGGGGTTTCATTGAGTACATCGGGAATTTGACTGGCCTCAAACCAATCTAACGGCTGGGAATCCTCCAGATCCATTGGATCGAATGGTTGAGAGTCCTCCACGTAGATCATTTCAACCTTTGGACCACCAAGCCCTGGGGCATCACGACCATCTGCATCGTGCCCTGGAGCAGCATCATGC